AGAAGGCTGGTTCGCTGTTATCAACGGACAGGTCATCTGCCATGTTAGGTAGGATCTAAAGGTAATAATCAGAAGCCTGCCTAGAGTTTCTCCTCGGCCTTTCCTCCCATCGAATGAAGGAGACGCGAATCATGCCTCAAGGTCCTCGGTCTTTCTTAACCTACTCCACTTACTTGCTTCCTATCGGACGGAGCCGTCTACCTTGCCGCCCGTATGGCGAAACACCCATCCCACGCGTCTCATTTACCTCCAATCGCGAGGTCCACCGCATTTACCGCGTGCCAGTCATCTGACGGCATGTGCACTAGCCGCCTCGGCTTGAAGTAGCTGCCTGGCCCTGCAGAAGCTCTGTATATCAACCCCACTTTACCCCTCCAACTTCTATCATCTATCAGCATTCCATCACTCGACTACATCGCAACACTCTACACGAAAGAAACTCAGCAGAGGCACGACAAACATTCAATATGCAGTCCACAATCGAACTTGTCAACTTCCACAGCGACTGCCCAAAGTGCGGCTCTACTATTAGCGGCGATGCCAAGACCTGTGGATCTTGCGGCAGCGTAAGATACTGGAGCGACATTTCGTAGGCAGAACATAGCTAATTTGCGCTGCAGTCATGCCCAGTCTAAGTCAGGAACATTGTGTTTTTATGGGTTGGCGTAGTTGTGTGGTTTGGTGACGCGGATACCCGAAGGCTGAACGGACGTGCGAGGCGTTGATGCGGCTGCAGATGAGGGAACAGGAGTCTGGGAGGTAGTGGGCACGTTTAGTGAGTAATTGAATTGAAACACGATATTACATTACATGGGTTTCTCGTCTCTGCGTTACATTACATGGGCTTTTTCGTTTCTGCGAATCTGCTCTGGCTACATGCGCTTTTCCTTGCTTGCCTGTCCTCGTTGCTCTTTCTTGCTTAGGTCTCACCACCTCTCATCCAGCCCGCTCAGCCTCGCTTCAATGCGTCCTCTTGATACGCAGGTAAGTCAGAGCTAGTGCTACGAATAGCACCACGACCGTCAGGATCATGAAGACCGAGTCTGCTTGACTTTGCTTGCATCGGGTATTGAGATGCCATGCTTCTTTTGGGGACCAGTATATGCATCCGTTTTCATTGCAGCCGCCACTCAAAATGTCGATACCCACAAGCCCGTATTTACCGGAGCCGTCTTCATACCGATTCCAGTCACTAGTGTCCGCACAATTTTTGCCTTGAAGCCGGATGGCTAGGAGCTAGCAGTCGTCAGCTTAATTTTTTGATGTGATGCCTTTGGCAGCAAAACTCACTACGCCACCAACAAGATTTGCCAATAAGACTACAATATCGATGAGTACCTCGAAGTAGCCTCGCAGAAACTCTGTGCATGCCAACACAAAACCAGTGATGGCTCCGGCAAGAGTGAGACCGCCGATGCACGCTGCGAGGAAAAGGAGTTTCGGTACGCCTGATACTTCCTTATGGTGACCAGGGTCGTGACCTTTGATGAGGGTTACGCTCAAGCCTAGGGTTACGATCGCGAGGAGGGCTTGAAGGCCTCGGAGGATGGACGAAGGTATAAGGGTCTTGGTGAAGGCCATTGTGAAAAGATATCGAGGACGAAGTAGGAGGAGGTTGATGCTGATGACGCTGATGATAATGCTGCTAGTCTTCAGTGGATTTGGGATGAGAGAAAGGAACAAGCGGGAAAGTCAGGCATATGATACAAACAGGTTGACAGGATGTCTACACAGCCTTGCGGGTTCCTGCGACATGTTCTGCGACGACAATGTTGTACAGTCACACCAAGGGTGCGTGCATCACAATTTCGTACCTTCTGGGTAGAGCTCTCCGTACTATTTCTTTGTGTGCAACACTCATTTTCTGCCATACCAACGTGCCCTATTTGAAATCGCTACCAAGGGTATTGCATTATGTGCGCCAAGAGGCTCATATGAACTGCGTACCTTTTCAATACTCCATCTGCCGATCCTCCAGCCTTCATCGGTTCTTGCGTATATCATCGCACAGGTGACTATTATTACTACCACGTTCAAGAACATGAACGCAGCGTCACACTGATAGAGAATGCAGCGAACCCTCAGGGGAGTGAATTCGGCCCAGTAGTCATAGAAGCACCTATGGCTACCATACCCGTTTTTACCAAATCCTCCGCATATGACCTCGTTTTCGGACATCCAATAGCCCATAGCCTCTTCACAAGACTGACCTGCTACTTCAGACGCTATCATCTATCACCAGGGCGTTAGAAAGATGGACCAACCTCCTGTAGAGAAGCATTGCGCAGTAGCTGAATGTACTTACAGCTCCGATAGCCATATATAACGATAGAAAACCACCATCGATCGTGCTTCTGATCCATGGGTGTAAGGACCCCCGCAGGCCCGCTACCATCAGGAACAGCGAAGCAATCAAGCTCGAAAAGCTCACCCCGGCTGAAAACCCCAGAATGGCCGGAAAAGACATGTTTTCGTGGACTGAGCCAATGATCAACCAGATAGTGATTACGAATACGGTGGCACTGAAGGTCGCTTGGAGCCCGCGTGCAATCAGAAAGGGAAGGAACGAGGACCTGTGCATCGCAGTCGATATGACGTCCGCTGGCTGAAGCGTCGGAGATATGGGTGAATCAGAAGAGACGACCTCAAGCAGAAGAAGGGCAGATTCTCCTGAAGCAGACCTGTAGAATACCGGCTTCACAGGGCACGGCAAGACTTACTACTCGGTGCTCTTCGCAACCGTACCACCGTTCATCCGCCTTGGCTTTAACAATTTTAACAGCACAGTCGCACAGGAACGGCTCAAGAGTGGGCACAACTTCGTCTTTCATTACTTCGTGTTCATGAACGGCGTGTGTCGCACATAGGCCGTGTCTGGACTGCATCGACTATCATAAGGAGTGTACCTTGCTTAGTGAGAAACTACGAAGAGCGTCGAAACGCTTCTCCATGTGACAAAATGCACAGATGATTAAATCGCTTATAGTAGGGTATCGTGATACGAGAAAGAGACCGTCGTGAAATCCTCCAGAGACATGCGCAACACTACGTCAAGTGTGGTTAAGTTGGATCATCGCTACAATGCTTGGTGGTCGCTGTTAGAATTAGCGAAACGAGACTAGATGAGTCAATTAAGAAACACTCACCATCGTGCTTCTCCGAATCTAGTAGCCCTTCTTCATGCGCAAGAAAGCCAGCAAGGCAGTCACCGCGAGGACAATGACGGTGAGGAACATGAAGACGCAGTCGGCTTGGGTCGACTTGCACCTAGATTTCATGGTGTTGGGGTCGTTTTCCTGGTAAAAGTACCAGCATTTGCCATCGGCTATGCAGCCGCCATTAAAGATGTCGTTGAGAACGAGCTTGGCGGCGTTCTCGAAACTTGTGTCGGCATCGCAATCCACACCAGAGATCTTGAGAGCGAGAACCTGTATCTTTGTCAGCCGAAATATCCAATTGCGTAATTCTCAGAGGTCCTTCAGAACTCGGGCTAGCACTTACGATACCACCTGCCGCGTTGATGACAGCAACAACGCCGTCGACTATCAATCCAATCATACCATCCAAGAAGCTGAAGAACAGTCCTGCGACTCCAATCGCTGCTCCTAGGATCGTGACGCCACCGACAAAGGCTGAGAAGCCTAGACTAGCGGGGAGACCACCCCAGTGGTGGCCGCGAATGAGTGACACTGATATTCCGAGTACGACGATACCGAAAAGAGCCTGGAAGCCGCGAACGACAAAGTTGAGAAGTGGGTTCGCGATCGCCATGTTGTTGATTCGTATGTGCAGAGAGCCGTGTGCGGATGGTGGTGAATGATGGGTCGCTGCGACAGCAGTGGTGGTATCGGTTTCGTTTGTAAGAGGAAAGGTTTTCCCGGCGCGTATTAATTGGAGTGAGAGGTGAAGAGAAAGAGAAGTCGCGACGGGTACCACCTCACTATTTACGTGTTTGCGCTCGTTTGTACACCCACGTCATTGGCTATTGGCCTTGCCCTCCTCGTCTGTGCCACCTTCACATTGGCAAGAGCAGTTTCAAGTCGTCGCGCGGCGTCCAAGGCAGACACATTGGCGGCGCAGCCCTATGGCTGTCAGATTCGTACCACATGTATGGGTCCATTTGGGGGCCAGCCCTGCTGTGGTAAAGGGATCTACGGATACGGGTGGTTGCCTGGGGTTGAATCGGAGAGTTTGCTGCATTCGGCCTGACTGATGTTGATGGGGTTAGACCGATATTGTGTATACCTCGCCGATAGAATTCAAGTTTAGTACTGTGACTCACATTCACAGTCGTGATAGAAGCCTTGCCCTACCTAGGCAGCGGCTTGTACCCGTCTGTAGCGACATCAAAGCGTGGAGTATGTCGAGCTGGAGACCACACGAACTCTGTCCAACCACATCTCGCATGATCAGCTATAAGCTCATTACTGGACAGCATTGCAATGTATGGATGTCAGCGACTGTCAAAGGCTATGGTTGTCAATGCATCAGGCGCCCTGGCATTGGGGGCCGTATCTGGAAATTTTCACCGGTCAATGTGTAGCCTGTCTCAGAGAACATCGTGCAAGGCGACAGCTCACGCGAGGCTGGGTGCATACATACATCCTTTATTACCCGGGCCTATAATCTCGACAGTGAAGTGTCAGAGACATGCGGGAAAGTGTGCTCGTCACCATGGCCTTTGTGGCTGTGCTCAGCTCGACCAATGAGGACGCGTCGCGAAGTGGGAATCTATTCTGGGCTCCAGCCTCCCGCTACGCTTACCGACGTCTGCATCTCGAATTGTATCAACTCGCACCGCTCATCTGCAGGTCTGGACGACAGTCGTCAGGATCTAATGTTGGCATGAATGTCTAGCCGCGTGACGTCACGGCTCCGTCTGCTCCTGCCATAGCGAAGAAAGACACAGGATGACGTACGAAAGGACGCTGCACCGACTGCAGTAAGCTTATCGCCACCTCATCTCCAACATTGTCTGACATGCTACAACTAACATGCATCTACGGTGTGAGAATGGCTGCAGCAGCCAAGATCGCCTTTGCCGTCCTCCCGACAAAGTCCCCTGCTAGAACAAGATCGCCCGCAACAACAGCCTCTGTCACTCCAGGATAAGTAACAGGCGCATAACCAGTATCGACCCCAGGAGCAAAGACAAGATGTCGATAGAACTCTCTGCCCGGAAGCCCGCCCTGGCTGACGAACCCGCGCCCAAAATCGCGCGCCTTGTGGTTGAGCTGTCTGATCAGAAGCGAACTATTCGAGCTCGCGGCCAATCCACGAGCAGCATTGAATTGCTGCGCTGAATCCTCAAATGTCGCAATTGCACTCTCAAGCTCTCCAATTTCTACTGCAGCCGTCGCATTTGCAGCCCCGATAACGCCCTTCAGATCTTCAAGCCACGCCCGCATCTCGACCCCATAATTCGCGGGCTCAAGCGGTACAACCTCTCCATCGACCAATTGATACAACATCAAGGTCAAGAACTGACCGATCGCCTTGTGCATCACGAACCCCGGATCCGCAAACTTGGTCATCCAGTGGTAGGAATCGAAGTTCGAATGCGTGTGATAAATCGGGTCAAGTGGCGCTCGTGTGGTGCCCATATCGATAGCAGAGATGCCGACGCCATGAACGAAAGCTGCATAGTCACTCTGTGCACCCAGAGTGTCGATCTCGCCGGTCTTTTCCTCCCACTCATCGTATAGGGTGCGGTTTGAGCCATGCGGCCAGATGACTTTCCGTGCTGTGGACGTAGTGAGGGTATGGAGATCGGGAGTGGCGCCGAAATCTGGGATGGTACCTGCTATGCCAACATCGATGTTCAGGTAGGATACTGCGGATGCTTTCAGCCAGGGTAGGTATTCTTCTACCCACTCCGTGCTGTGACTTTCTTAGCTGGAGTGATCATCGTTGGTCCAACTTCGGTGGCTTACCTTCCAACCAGGCCGTATTCCTCAGCATCCCAGCTGCATAGCACGATCGTCCGCTTTGGCTTCCAACCTGTCCTCATTAAAGCACCGATTGCTTTAGCCAACTCGATGAGAATCGCCGAACCTGAATGCGGATCAGCTGTAGACGTCAGTCTTGTTCCAAAACCAACTTGCGTTCCCAACTTACCTGCTCCGCCGATCATCCAAGAGTCATGATGATTACCAACGATAACAACCTCGTCCTCAATTGTACCGTTGACAATACCAATAGCATTATGAATCCAATTGATCTCATCCCTCATAATGTTGCTCATTGATAGCACAGCTTTTGACGGCCCAGAACTGTACTCAACACCGTCTATACCACCTATCCAGTGCGATCGATTAACAGTCTTCGCATCAAAACCAAGACCATTCAACGCGACCAACAACGGTTTCGCTTCAATCCACGAAATCGGTAAACTTGGAATTGTAGGCACAGTCTTCTTTTCCTTCCTCTCCACACCCTCTTTAGACGGGTATCCCGGCGTTGATGGGTCTCCAGGGTACGTGCTCAAATCCATAACACTACCTCTTTGGATGCTTGTTGGGTTTCTAGCAGGCCCGTCCGGATACGTGGCAAAGTTCTTAGCAGTCATGGTTCTGTCGTCCCCGGGATCTGTGAAGATTACAGCGCCGATCATACCGAAAGCCTGCGCGTTCTTCACTTTGAGACCGCGAAATGGGCCGCCGTATTTGGCCAGGGCGATCTTGCCGTGAAGTTTGATGTTTAGGTCAAGCAGTCGCTTGAAGTCTTCTTGAGAAGCTCGGCCTAGTACATTTAGCACCTGATATTGCATACCTTCTGAAACGGAGAATACATACCGACGTAGACGTACTCAGCTGACGCGTTACCTGAGCCGGAATACCCATGAAATGCAGGAACCCTGTCAGCATCACCCGTAGTTTCGTCTTCTTCAAGAACTTCTTCTTCGAGCGTTGCGTGATATGTGCTACCGTTGCCATAGTCAAGTGACAAAGCTCGGTGAACTGGGTAGTCAAGGTAGACGTCTTTCTCTTTAGTCAGTTTTCGTAACTGAATCGATACTTTGAATAACTTACGGTAACTGTCCAGTCTTGTTTCGAAGCCATGCTCCGCCCATCGTTCAGCAGTCCATTTTGGAACCGTGTCACTCTCGCCTGCTAGATTTCGCTTGTGTGCTATGGTAGGTCATTAGCAGTCACCGTCGAAATGAGGGTTAGCGAGTAGATTGTTACAGTAATAACTTGACCAAGACGCTATAGACGTGTTCTCGAAAGACGAGACCAAAAGCTCTTCGTTTGGCGTCAATGTTGGAGGAAATATGGGGGACGTATCGCGCCGTTGTAAGTGACGATCATGATGCCGGTAGTGATGCTCTTTATCGCATGCAAGAACACTTCTGGAGTAAAACAAAGCTAAAATGAACAGCATCGTGGTTAATACCATGAATCATTCGGAGGTGATGATATCGAAGGGTTATCCAGGTCGAGGAATGTTCATATAGTGCCAAGTGGCGGCAAATGCACCGCTTTAGCCAACATTCAGGTTAGTTTTAGTTCGATCCCAGTCGATGCAATTTATGTTCTTATTCGAATTTGTGGGGTATTGAGGGTATGTTCATCTTTATGGCGGTAGCGCTCTTATGTAAACAAGGTATGATGTAACGCTACATATGATCTTCTCGTCGGATGGGCAGTGTCATACGCAAGTGATCTGAGGTTGGCGGAAGACAAGGGTAGCGGGTTCTTGAGCATTCTTATGCGAAGCGTGTTGATAGCTATATACAATTTATTTGAAGCTACAGAGAACACCCTTCGCAAGCCATCTTATCGCCCAGAGCTTCCACTAAGCGCTGACCTCGACAGCACTCACTTCAACGCCAGAGCTCTTCGCTGCGTTAACAGCGACAGGCTTCGCCTGAGGAAGACCGTAGACATCAGTCTCATCCTCCTGCATACCACCCAAGAGCAAAGAGCTGGGAGCAGCCGCCTGATCCGCAGGCGACGCAAGGAAAGCGAGGAACTTCTCGTCGTGCCACTGGCGCGAGGTGACGTATCGACCTTCGCTGTCCTGGAACATAGTCTCGTCCTCAGCGCGGAGGAAGTATGCAACCGAGTAGCGATGCTCGGTGTAGTCGTATGGTACAACACGGTGGATGCAAGACTGGAAGGTGTGGCCGCTGGCGAAGCGAAGAGAGTCGCCAACGTTGATGATGGCTTGGCCCTTCTTGGGCTCTACGAAACCGAACTCCTTACTGCCCGGTGGGCGAATCTGGAGACCCCACTGCTCGGTGAAGAGTACTGTCAGTGAGCTGATGTCGGTGTGCTTTTGGTGGCCGACGTTGCCGTCCTTGACGGGGTGCGAAGGGATGTAGTGCATCATGGACAATGTGCTTGTGGAAGGGCGGTGGTTGCGGTGCAAGTTCTCGAAACGCGCACCACCCGTGAGGCCGAACGCTGTTGACAAAGCTGCCAGAATGGCCTTGCCCATGATGTTATTGCCAGAAATGGCATTCTCGATGACCTTGAGATCGGAGCTGTTCTTGATGTTGCGAGGAATGTGGGGCGACTCGCGTTGGATCTCATCGCGAGAGATCTTGACCATCTCGTAGCCGTCTCGCTTGCCTTCCAGCGAACCGTTGCGTGAGCCAACAGGCTCGTATCTGAGAAATTTCAGTACTCGCATGAACATTGAGGCATGCTGTGCTTTGTAACTCACCCAAGGTGAGGTGCGATCAGTCCATACTCGTTCTTGATCTCAATAGGAGACTCGAAGAAACGGTGCATGACCTTCAGCAACTCCTGGTGGTCATCGATGAACCGACGTCCATCGACATTGTTGAGGTCCAAGTAGAAGAATCCTTCTTTCTTGCAGCACTCGAGAAGCTTCTCAAGCTCAGCGGGCTCTTGCGAAAGGATGGCAGAGAAGTCGATGGTCTCCATGGGGTAGACTGGGACCTGCTTTCCGTTCCATTCGACCCTTCGGGGTACTTCGGTCACTGGAGCCATGTTGATGATGGATGTGATGGTAGTTGTGATGAAGATGCCGTGTTCTCTGATTGTGTCGGGGCTGTGTTATACCGTACTGCGCATTCTTCAACGTTGGTTTCATGCTTTATAGCAACCTCTCGCGCGTTCATCAGACACGAGTCGGGATGCACTCCCTGTTGACATGTTAATTGGCCTTCATCTCGATGATACATGATCTGTTGCCTTCCAAGATCTCGAGATGATCATAGATTGAGTTGGGTTTCTGTCTGTCCCGGATTTCAAGTGTATTGTTTCGTACCCCGCATCTTGTGCAGCTATGAGGACCGCCGCGAGGTCGGCATATTAAATCAGTTGGAGTGCCACAGCAAGGGCTGCCTGTTGTACTGCGGCTGAACACCTGATCAGCTTGTCCATACGTGGGATTACTGAGCCCTCCGCACACACGTGTCTCATCAGTAAGTGTAAAGTATACACGTGGGGTCGCTGCACCCTGCACATCTGTCATCTATCCTTTGTATGGGTAAAACCTGAGATCAGGACACTTGAGTCGATGCCTAGGGATGGCGTAGTGGGATCCTTTGCCTCTGCGAGACCACCAGTAAGGTCATGGGTTGTAATCTTGATGCGGTCACAGGCTGTATCGAACATATTGTCGGCAGCTGGGCAGTAACTGCCGTAAATGAAGCTGTAACTGGTGGGGCTTCCGCGGGGGTAAACACCTGGGCATCCTGAACTCGAGGCTGGCAACATGTCACGAATGGCCCAGTTTGAGCTGTGCGTGTAGCTTAAATGATCGCAAATATATGTGATGGCCACTGACAGGGGTCGCGAACGAGGCGTCTGGGTAGGCGACGCGTCGTGCTTTCGCGACGAAGGAGCTGGCAAGTCAAGATCGGAATCATCTCCCAGCCACGTGCGCGCGACTAGCAAGCCATGCATTTTTCCAATTCTCAACATCCACAAGACCGAACGACCACAAGATTCAAAACGGAATATGATATATGATATTTTTACAGATAACTAAACACGTCGCTAAAGCAATTTATAGCTTCATACCCAGCACCTTGTGTACCCGCAGCGCTTGCCTGATACTCAGGTCAAGCATGATCTCTTCCGAGCCACCAGGAATAGCGTAAGCCCTGACATCCCTGTACAGTCTCTCGACCTTCGCGCCTTGTCCACCACGACTGTAACTCAGACCACCGAAGATCTGGCTGGCTTCCCTAGCACAGAACTCGAATGTCGTGGTACTTTGCGCCTTCAAACTGGCAATAGCACCACCAAGCTTCAACATGGCCTCCATCTCGTCCATCTTCTGGCACTGGTAGATGAGGTTCTCCATCCAGTTGTAGCTTGCCTCGATCTGGCGTGCCATGTGCGCGAGCTTGAGGCGAATGACGGGGTGGTCGATGAGGCGCTTGCCGAAAGTCCTGCGCTTGTGTGCGTACTTCACGCTCTCCTCGTAGCAGACGCGGGCGAAGCGCAGACATTGGATGATGATACCGATACGCTCGTGGTTGAAGTTTGTCATGACAACCTTGAAACCCTGGTTCTCCTTGCCAATGAGGTTCTCGACGGGGACCTTGACGTCCTCGAAGGTAACGTAGGTAGTGCCGCTGCTCCATACACCTTGGCAGTCCATCTTGCGAGTGGAGACGCCACCGGCGCTGCGCTCGATCAGGAGCACGGAGACACCGTTCATGCCCTCTCCGCCAGTGCGGACAGCGGTTGTGAAGTAGTCGGACCAGATACCGTTGGTGATCCACTTCTTCTCGCCGTTTACGATGTAGTGTTTGCCGTCTTCGGAGAGCTTGGCTTCGCAGGTCAGGTTCGCGACGTCGCTACCGGCATCTGTTGCAGTCAGTATTCGGTCACGTTGTGCGGAAGGGATGAATGAACTTACCAGGCTCGGTGATGGCGAGACAGATCCTCTTCTTTCCGCTCAAAAGGTCTGGACCAATGCGCTGGACGAGCTCCTTCTTGCCGAACTTGAACAGAGGAGGTCCGCCAATGCCGTATCCTCCGATCAGACCCCAGACGAGACCACCGCTGCCTGTCCTTGACAGCTCATCGGTGATGATCATCTCGTGGAAGTGATCCCACTTCTCTGTGGGCACACATTGGACCCGCTTGTCTGTGTATTCTGTAGGGAAGTGCATGCCGAGCATACCGGCGAGGTATCCGCGCTCGCCCATTTCCTGGAAGATTTCGTCGGGCACCTTCTTCGCTTCGTCCCATTCGGTTACGTTGGGCATGAGTTTCTCCTCGACCCATTGGCGGACTTCATCGCGGAGGGCTACGTGGGTATCGTTGTAGTAGGGCGAGTGGTACTGGATCTGGTGTCAGCGATGCCAATGCGCGATTTGTAGGCGGGCTTACTGTTTGGTACCATGACGGGTCTGCGTATGGGATAAGATCGCCGTAGGCATCGAAAGGCTCCGACTCCTCAGCAGCAGCCTCGGTTGGCTGTGGCGCGATAACACCAGAGTTGGCCTCTGGCTTGACCACATCCTTCTTCGGCGCCTTCTTCTGCTCGGGCGCAGCGGTAGCTGGAGGAGCTGGAGGCGCGGCTTTGCTGTCTAGCGATCCGACCTGGAGCTGCTTCTGGTACTTCTTGAGAATGCTGTCATTGTGGTACTTCCAGAACTGCTTCGAGGCGTCCTTTCCGGCGACGCGTTGGAGGACTTGTTGTTGTCAGCTTCGCGAATGATATTCGTGCATCGAGGTTTGACATACTCTTCTTGCCTCCTGGGTGCTCCTCCTGGAAGTTCGTGAGATCATAGACGTCTTCATCTACGATGATCCACAAGTCGCTCGCTGTCTTGTGCGACGCGACATCAGCGGTTGAGAAGCGCTTCGACATGTTGCTCTAGGTGTCAATATGCAAGAGGGGTAGGTGTAGTAAGGAGAGCAGACGGATGAGGTGTCGCTAATCACAGGACAACCCTTACTGACTTATAAGAGGCTTAGCAAGTTTCGGGACGTCTTCACATGCCAGGAACTACTCCACGCCAAGGCAATCCGGGGAACCCGCCAGCTGCTGAAAGTCGGCCGCCCATAGCGCGTTCTGGAGTGCAGCAAGCCGCTGTCTGATGATCTCGTGCGTTGGAATGCGAGCGCTGCAATTGGTCGTTGCCGTCACGGACCGGGTGACTTGCTGTTTGGAGCTTCACGTCATACGCGCAAATGCCGAGGTATGCCGCATTGGGACGCTCACGTGTCGACATGTCAGTCTTCACATGCCGAACAGAAGAGGCTGACATTCAGATGCTCAGCGAGTTGTCGCATTGATTACTTTGACACCTAGTCAAACGCACGGAACGCCCCATGCCGTCGAGTGAGGAGTACCATGAAGCTATGGCGCGTCCTTCCAACGCGTTTCGTGGGGTCTCCGCATCACGACCGCGTCATTCTTCGTCCCGAGGTCGCCTTCAAGAACTCGATGCGCAGTCAAGTTCAGCCATGGAGACTACCTCTCACCTCTTATTCGTAACTCAGCGCATGTATAATACAGGATGTCTCGACAAGTCCAGGTGAAGAAGGGGTCTGACTTCCAAGCCCCAGATGGCCCCCAAACCGATGGCATGATTCGCATGCCCGCAATTGTAGACATGTCGGACCAGATCTGTGGAACTGGTAGGACTGATGTGATCATCAAGACTTCGACTACTGACGTTAGCAGTCATGATCGCCAAACCCCATACAGCTTCTGCGATCCACCACCACGGCGATGAGGGTACGTCCTGTATTGCACCCGTGCACCCATTCATACGCGCTCGAGCGATTTCGTAATATTGTACGAGTGGTACCTGAGATCTTGGCAGATACCATCGTGTACGCCGCGAAGGGTCATGGCGCCCTAGTCAGCGGATCGAACGGCAGTAAAAGACAAGAGCTAGCACCAGGGGATTTTGCACTTATACCAGCGTATGCAGAGCACCAAGAGGTCAACGACAGCGATGAGGATGTTGTTTGGATTATCACAAGGGGTGGCAGAAGCCCTGTTGTTCAGAACCTCGAGGCTTGGTCAAAAGACTGAGTAGTTTGCCAGCGCAGACCATGTCAAGAACCCCTCTCCGAGCACGACACACAGATCATTACCGTTGCGGAACCGAATCATAGGTACCGATGCAAACAGTCATCTCATATGTTGATTGTTGATTAGTCGCATTCGGCCCATCTATGTCGAATGATTACGGTGAAACTGACCATCTGCTATTTGTTATCACAGCAAAACGGGAAATCTGCATCATATACAAGGCCTTCAAGCATATATCTACGTCAGACATGCCCGCTTGTCTAAGCGGTGCTGCAGGTGTCGATAACACACTGGCGACTTGTCGCTCACATGTTGGTATCATGAGCTCTCATTGGTCAGCAGGCCATCTCGTTACAACGCCCCAATATTCATGGTACAGCATACATTGCCCGGTAGATGGCAAGATGCATGGCTTATAATCGAGTTTTAGCCGCTTTCATTCCAGTTCTTTCATTACTCTCACCGTCTCAGCCCCCTATATTGCTTGACCCGTCCGGACCGATCGGCATTCACGGCACCCACGGCACGTATTAGCCACAGTTGAGCCACACCAAAGACTGCGCCATACTCCCACGCAAAGGGAGTAAGCTTTCATTGGAATCCGAACTCCCTGAGGTGCGCGTCTTTGAGTACTGATTTGGCGGTACCGAGAACGTTGGTATGGTGGTGATCCATACTTAGCAACACACCTAGCGCCACACTCTCGTGTACTGTTTACTTCTACGTTTAAAGCACCATCTTTATCTTACATTTTGGCATACTCTGCATTGCGACTGCAGAGATGTCGTCTCCTACGAGATCGTCTTTCTTCGCAGGCATTTGTACTTTTTCCATACTAATCTCAACCGGATCTGTGCAGGCACAACTGGACTACAGCAAACATGTCAATGTCTTGTAAGTACCACGTTCTATACTATTTGTACTCCACTCACAAAACCCAGTCAAGGAACTCAGGGCGGTGGAAATAGATTTCCTGGGGTCGTGGCCGCACCCTTCGCCATGGTCAAGCTTGGACCTGACGTTCAGAACATGAACACCGACGCATACTCTGGCTATCTCCCCGAAGGCAACATCTTTGGCTTTAGTATGATGCACGAGTCTGGTACGGGAGGAGCGCCAAAATACGGCGTCGTAAGTCAGATGCCAGTGGTCGGTGAGGTGCCGGACCCCCTTGCAGATCTGTCACAACCACGAGCATCACCAGATCAAGGGAGTCTTGGATATTACAAGTCATCGCTGGCGAACGGCATTTCAGTAGAGCTTGGTGCTACCGAGCATGCCGGGCTTTACTCTTACTCTTTCCCAAACGGCACATCGTCATCTATTGTGGTCGATGTTTCGCACGTACTTCCCAGTTTTAGGGGTCTTGGTTGGGAACAACACTATTCGGGTGGTGGCTTCAGGATCGAAGAAGATGGGCACTACGAAGGATACGGTGTCTACAACAACGGTTGGAACTTGTCGCCAGATTGGACGATCTATTTCTGTGGCAAGTTCAACCAGCAACCCCTACGATCGAGAACTTTCAAAGGAAATGCCAATGCATCAAGCACCCCGGTATCAGGGACCGCTCGTCTCGGTGGCGTGTTCACGTTCACGGGACCGGAAGTAACATCTCGAGTCGGCATCTCCTTCATCTCTTCCTCTCAGGCTTGTTCAAACCTAGAAGAAATAACCTCAGACACCTCCCTCACCACCCTCGTCACCGCCGCAAAGAACAGATGGAACACCGAAATCCTTAGCAAGGTGAAAACCTCCTCTTTCGACACGTCCGACCTATCCCTCATCTACAGCGCCCTCTACGGCGCCTTCCTCATCCCCTCGAACCGAACGGGCGAAAACCCATCCTGGACGTCCACCGAACCCTACTACGACGACATCTTCACTTTCTGGGACACGCACCGCTGCCACACCTCCCTCTTCCACATCCTCCAACCCACCGCCTACGAAGAGTTCCTCCGCTCTCTAATCGACATCTGGCGCCACGACGGCTTCCTCCCCGACGCGCGCTCGTCAAACTACAACGGCCGCGTACAAGGTGGATCGAACGCCGACAACGTACTCGCAGACGCTTATATCAAAGGCGTCCGGGGCGCGATAAACTGGGACGATGGTTTCTCCGCTATGCGTACAGACGCTGAAGTCGTCCCACCCAACAACTTCGACCCCCAAGCCCCTGATTCCTCAACCAAGGAAGGACGAGGCGCACTTCCAGACTGGCTCGAGTACGGATACATAACACCAGCCTTCACCCGCGCCGTATCGCGTGCCGTGGAATACTCAACCAACGACTACGCCGTGCACGTCGTCGCCGCCGGCCTCGGCAAAACCTCCGACGCAGAAACCTATGTAAACCGCTCCCGTAACTGGCGTAACCAATGGGACCCCTCCGCCTCATCTCACAACCACACCGGTTTCCTCGTCCCCCGCCTCGCAAACGGCGAGTTTCTACAACAAGACCCCGCCGACTGCGGTGGCTGCTACTGGCCCGACGCGTACTATGAAGACAATAGTTGGATCTACAGTATGAACGCCATCCACGACGTCGCCGAGTTGATAAGGCGGGTAGGCGGCGACGAAAAGTTTGTGGATCGTTTGAACAAGATCTTCGAGTTGGGGTTTTTTGATGCCGGGAATGAACCTAGTTTTATTACGCCGTATCTTTATAATTTCGTCAGGGGGGAGCAGTGGAGGAGTGTGGAGAGGAGTAGGGGTGTGTCGGACTTGTATAATGAGGGGGTGGAGGGGTTGCCTGGGAATTCGGATGCGGGGGCTATGGAGGCGAATTTACTCGTAAGTAATCTCTTCATTCTCATTTTGATGGTTGCTGGAGATGATGGCTAACAGTACGTGTAGTGGCAGATGATTGGTCTTTACCCGGTGACGGGGCAGACTACGTTTCTTGTTCTGTCGCCTTGGTTTTCGGAACTTGTGCTCGATCTTGGGAATGGGAAGACGCTTACTGTTACTACTGCTTTCAGCGATGGGGGCGATCGGAATACCGCGCCGTACGTACAGAGCCTGAAGGTCAATGGCGAAACTTGGGACAAAGCATGGGTAGCTTGGGAAGATGTCTTTGAGAATGGAGGTACCATGGAGTATGTCATGGGAAGTAGTCCAAGTCACTGGGCGACAGGAGATCTACCCCCTAGTCCAGCTTCGACATAGAATTTCGTTAGTCACATCCGCGTCAACGGCACATGCATGATTGTTGTTCTCACCGATGAACTAGCCTGAATAGGTAGTGTTGAGAATAATATTACTCAAAAGACGGTGATGTGCCATCAGTATGCTATCCACACCCCTCACTCTCGCAACCAGAGCATACAGAGAAAATATACATCTCGATCCAATCAGTCGTAATTTGGTAGTCCAAAAGCCTGCAATGCAGCATGCCACTGTACGCCGACGCCTGTCAATGCGCAAACAGATAAAGTGAAGTAAAGTAAAGAGATGAGAATATCGAAAAAGCTGCGTGGTGTCTTTGAAACGAAGCAGGTAGCGTTATGGCGCGTGACAAGCCGATAAGATCCAAGTGACCAAGACCTTTTCCCAAACAACAGCCGGACACAATGATTTTTTACGACGGCGGTGGCGTCTCCTCAGGATGAACGTAATCGAGATGATGCCCGGTTGAGAAGTAACCAACATGGTCTGACATGATCCGAGGAAGGGTTGATTCCCACAAGGCCCGCTGTTCTTCAAGTTTCTGTTTTCGTCTCTCTGCATCCGCGGTCCCCGCGTCAGTTCGTTGTCTACGCTGTAAAAGCAGTGGTGCGCTACGGCTCGTGGGTAGTGTAGGAAAAGGACTCCATTCGTGGGCCCACGTGTTCGCTCTGTTGTGACCGTATTTCCGTGGGACAGTTGCGGGAGCACCGTCGTCTTGACTGCCAAGTTGTTCCAATCCAGGCCTCCTCCGTACGCGTCGCAATCTCTGGGATAGGCCTCGTCTCACTGATTCGCCCGTTGTCTCAACAGCATCTGCGCGCTCCTGAATATCTTCCTCGATTTGTATCGTTGCCGTCTTCGCGATGATCGGAGATCCAGGGGAGGGAATGTCTTGGACATCCTACACCAAAGTACAAAATTAGTAACTTTGAGGTGCGTAGTGTGCGGGCTACAAGCCAAAGTCAGTCCTGCTATGAATGCAATAGATAGCCCTGAATTAAACAAGAATTCAGTAAGCTCAGTTGTGATACGTACTGGTGAGTTGAGCATGCTTTGACGCTTATTCCTGCTCTTCTTGATATGGCTCTTGAGCGCGCTCGAATCGAGAGGTTTGAGTAGCTCGAAACTGCAGAGCAGTTCTCCCGAAACCGACATGACGGCACCCCAGTTGTCAAATTCGCCGCAGTACTGGATAGAGTTAGCATGAGTTCAGTTGCGAGATTCGTAGAATCACTTACGTTTGGCGCTGAAAACACAGTGACCAACACTCGATCAGTGAAGAACTCATAACCATCTTCTACGACCATGTGAGCTCTGCAAACAAGGTCGAAGTCATGTCTTGCGAGGAACTCCATGATGACCTTCTTTCCAAAACAATAACTAACGCCTCTCTCATTAGACTCCCAGTCGTTTTCCATATCCGCAGGATCACTCCATAGGAGGTCGTTCAACAAGCCATAGTCGGGGACATCGGTAGGTCGCGCAATTTGCCTAATGTCATCCATATGCGACAAGCTTGGAGACAGTCCACCATGAACACAGAAAATCTTCTGCGCGACAATAGCTGCAATAGGGAGTGTGTTGAATGTATCCACAAAAGCCTTCCAGACTTTGATATTGCATCTCCTCTTGCATTCATCGTAGAAGCCGTACACACGTGTAACGTTGGCGCATTCGTGGTTGCCGCGGAGGAGGAAGAAGTTCTCGGGGAACTTGAGCTTATAGCAGAGCAGGAGTAGGATGGTTTCCAGACTCTGCTTGCCGCGGTCTACGTAGTCGCCGAGGAACAGGTAATTCGAGTTGGGAGGAAATCCGCACATCTCGAACATGCGGATCAAATCGGTGTACTGGCCATGGATGTCGCCAACAATCTTGACAGGCGGAGCGAGCTCAAGCAGCGCGGGCTGACTCAGAAAGACTTCGCGGGCAGCAGAGCAAATGGCGAAGATCTCAGCGTTCTTCAAGCTGACCGTCTTGGTGACCTTTCCAGCGTAGGCTGCGTCCAAGAGTCGCTGGATCATGTCGTCAAGGTCCATGGTCTTGAGCGCAGTGAGCTCCATGGGAGAACCTGAACCATCGGTGGGCGCGGGAGGCTCTGGAAGCCTGGGTATGGGTTGGTCCTTCTTCTGTAGGATTGATTCTCCCGGCTGAGCAGAGGCCAAAGGCTGTGCTGCTCCCGTCGGCGGCACGTCCGAGACGTGGTCGACTTCGCCGGTTTTCTGTGCCTTGCTCACACCTTCATGTCCCGTTCCGAGTGTCGCGCCGTGGACGGGCGAGGGCGGCGCTTGCGGTTCGTCTTGGTCTGATTCGGCCTTATCAGCGGCTTCTGGAGTTAAATCCGTGGGAGCGGTCGCTGAAGCTGAAGCGACCGAGCCCCGTCGCGAGCCTCTTGATTTGGTGGAAGCAGCATCTGACTTGTCAGCTTTTCCGTTGGAGTCGTTGAGGGCCGCGATAGAGTTCCGTGGGCTGTCGGATTTGCCGGTGCCGGGGATCTTGTTGCGCAATGAGTTGCGAAGGGAGCGGGTAGAGTCTTTGGTGTCGGATCTCTCGAAAGAGCGGTAGTACTCGCGGCCGAGAGGTACGCCGTCAGCACCGCCCTTCTCGCCCTTCTTGTCCTTGCCGCTCGACTGCTGGTTACCCATGATGCGGGTTGCGGACTAAGCGAGCGTGTGGAGAAGAGTATGGAATGTGTGTATGCCTGGTGAGAGCAGTGGTGTCCTGTCTCACAGCCTGGGGAAGCGGCGGCGGCGGGTTGGGTTGGAAAGTGAAAGCACGAGCCGATGGTAGCCCTGGCGCCTTCCCAGGATGTCTCGGAGCGATGACGCCACGTGCAAACACGCTCTCAGGTGATGTGTGAGGAAGTAGGTAGGCAGCGCGCAGAGACAATGTTAGGGCGGCCGGTAGAGGCGGGCGAGAAAAGCAAGGAAGCGTGCCTCCGTCGGCGCTGTCGTTATCTGCCTCGGAGACTGGCAGGCGAGGCTGGGCGAGGCGACGGGGGAGCGATCGTCTTCCAGCGTGCGCGCCAGATCGATGGTATGCGGGCTGTGAGCGGGTCGGGCAGGCTCACTACGTTCGGGCAGTGCTGAAGCGTCTGCGTGCGGGCGTCGTGGTGGCAGCGGTGATATCAACCTCTACGCGAGCAGAGCGGGGATTTAGTTGCGATGTCAGCCGCAAACCTTAGTTGGAGCCAGGACATGGGCAGTGACGCTGGTGGGCGAGCTGGCGTCCTTCGGGCTCTGCGGACCGGTGAATAGCAGCGTTGGAAGCTCACTAGCGCAATCAATGGGGGAAACTAGCAGAAGCCCAGACAACCCCAGCGTTGAGGCTGTACACGACCCAGATGGCAAAAACACGGAGATCACAGCGATGCGCGACTGCTGGAACGGCTATCGTGAGAGGGGCAAAGGCTGCGGAGAGAGAGCACTGCAGACGGTAGCGAAGTTGGAGACGAGAGGCTGCCAAGGCAAGGACAAGCCGACAAGGATGACGACTGGGCACACAAAGCGAACCGCCGCCTCTCTCGGTATATCCGACCACGTCCTGGAGCGACACATCACGGATGCCGGCATGGCCAGTTGACACGCCTCACGGCTGACCGTCAGGCGCCCACGATCCATAGATGTCACTTGCAAATCACGCGTCACGTTTAGAAAACCACTCCCACTGACCCCACGAACGGCATCACCATGGGCCCACTGCCAGCAGTTCGCCCAAGCTATGGGAATAAACGAAGCTGCTGCAGTTACAACGCTCCTCGGAACCCACCGCTCCGCCAGTCACGTTCGAGAGCTTACGCAAGCATTCCTGTTCCGCTGTGCGGCACAGATACACAGTTACCCATGCGCCCAAGGCCACTGCAGAAATCCCGCTGTTGCGACATTTATTCTCCTGCTGCCCAAGGGGTAATTGAGCGCGTGCTGCACGACGTCACACGTGGCATGGAAGTAAAAGCCTCATCAATCATGCTTTACACCGACATTTGAAGTTTGCATTTTGAACATGAGGTAGTCTTCTCCACCTTCTCCATCACGTCAACTGTCCAAGCCGTGGCGCCAAGGGCGGATATCTTGGGTGCACATGTGACCAGACTGGTGTATGCAAGACGCCACATGCATCGCCGCCGTCTCCAGTATTATCAATAGCATCTTGACATCGCACCCGTGCAAGTCCGCTATAGCTTGTTTCCTAGGTTGACGTGGATGGCCTATTTATATGTTAGCGCGACCTGCATGTGTGTTTACTAGCGTAACGTACCTTCTTGTTGGTATATGCCTCCAGACCAGCCTCGCCCAGCTCTCTGCCAATACCAGACTGTTTCACACCCCCGAATGGAATACGGATATCGGAATCGTTGCTCGAGTTGATCCAGACCATGCCCGCTTCAATACGTCTGGCAACACGATGAGCCTTAGTGATGTTCTCAGTGAAGACGGCTGCACCAAGACCGTATGTTGTGTCATTGGCACGGTTGATCGCCTCCTCCTCTTCCTTGAACGAGCTGATGACGACGAAAGGACCAAACACCTCCTCGCGGTAGATCTTCATGTTGTCTTTGACATTGGTGAAGATAGTGGGCGAGACGAAGAAGCCCTTGCCGCCAACATTCTTGTACGCTTCTCCACCAGCGATGAGAGTGGCGCCCTCCGACTTGCCAGACTCGATGTATGACAAGACGCGGTCGAATTGCGTCTTGGTAACCTGCGGACCCTGGAATGTGTCGTCCTTGAAGGGGTCGCCAACCACAGAAGTGGTCTTCACATGCTCCTTGAAAGCTTCGACAAACTTGTCGTAGATGCCTTCTTGCACCAGGATTCTTGATGTTGCCGTGCAGACTTGACCTTGGTTGTACCTACATCGTGTTAGCTCAATTTGAAGGCGAACGTACACACGACTTACATGATACCAACGTGACTCCACTTGACCGCTTGGTCAAGGTCTGCGTCGTCAAAGACTACCAAAGGTGATTTACCACCTGTTTCGAGAGTGATGTTCTTCATGTT